TTGAAGCTTGTCACGCGCCTTTGAAAAAGAGGTGGCCTGTGTGGCCTGTGTAAAACAAGAGAATACTTAAGGGTACTTCAGGGGCATGCTTACTACTGTGCATCCGAGCCACAGGAAAAGGTTCCCGTCCCAATCGCCCGTGAAGGCAAGGTTGGCCTCAAAGTTGCCAGAGACGACCCTGACATCGTCTGTGTGCCCACTCAGTGTGTGGAGAATTGCTCCTGAACCCACAAACCTCTAAGACCCTATAGGGTTTTAGGGTTTTAGGGTGTCAGGGATTTTAGGGTTTTAGGGTTTTTTTAGGGTTTTAGGGTTTCAGGGTTTTAGGGTTTTTAGGGTTTTAGGGTTTTAGGGTTTTTAGGGTTTTTAGGGTTTCAGGGTTTTAGGGTTTTTAGGGTTGCCTGAAGCTCCTGTACCATGAGTAAAGCCCTGAGCCCGAAACCGTCCTGAGCCCTAACCGCCCGAAACAGCAGTGTTTACGGTTGAGGGTTGAGGCATTTAGGTTGGTTTATGGTTTAGGGTTTAGGGTTTAGGGTTTAGGGTTTAGGGTTTAGGGTTTAGGGTTTAGGGTTTAGGGTTTAGGGTTTAGGGTTTAGGGTCTAGGGTCTAGGGTTTAGGGTCTAGGGTTTAGGGTTTAGGGTTTGGGATGTTCCCCCTGATACTAACAGTCCTTAGTAGGGATTCTAGTACCCCCTAATTCAGAATCCCTACATGAAGGACTGTTAGAATAAGGGTGAACATCCCAGGGTTTAGGGGTTTGGGGTAACTCCTAAACCCTAAACCCTAAACCCTAAACCCTAAACCCCCTAAACCCCCTAAACAAAAAGACCAACCCTGGGTCCGATCCTGAAGTAAGGTCCCAGTGGATCACATTGAAGTCGCTCGACAAGCCACCACCGGAGATGGCTTGCTTCTGGGTGAAGTCCTTGGTTGGCCAATTATGGGTTTAGCGTTCATACAGGGTTTAGGGTTTAGGGTTTAGGGCTTAGGTCCTGCCTAGAGTCAGCATCGACTGCACGGATTCTTTCGGTGTGGCCGCCGGAGAGGGTCAGCACTGCTTGCAACTGACCATAGACGCCCACCACAAACAAGAAGCCTACCGCCCACCTCCAGCGAAAGCATGCGCAGTTTGACTGCCATTGGTCGAGCATTGGAAAAAAACGGCGGAAAGCACAGGCAGCAATTACTTCCTTCAAAATCCGCTGCCTGCGCCTACCTAGTATGGAGCCAAGGGAGCCACGATGCGTGGGACAGAGAAAGTCGGTACAAAGTAGAATTGCAAGTCCCTAAGCCGCCTAAACGGGCCTAAACCCTAAACCCTAAACCCTAAACCCTAAACCCTAAACCCTCAACCCTCAACCCTCAACCCTCAACCCTCAAGCCCAAACCCTAAACCCTCAACCCCAAACCTGCCTTCTCAGGGCCCGGGCTCGCGCTGACAAACACGACGACAACGGCAGAACCTCTGTCAGTGCAGGAGAGCTTGTACACGGCTTAGGGCTTAGGTTTCGGGTTTATAGGGTTTAGGATGCAGGGTTTCGTGGTTAGGGGTTAGGGGTCTATAGGGTTTTGGGTCAAGCATAACTGGCCGTGAAACAGCTGACGTTTTGCGGCTTAAACGATGAAATGGAATGGATGGAAGGACCTATTGCCATGCCGAGCGCGACACAATGTAGCCCTACACAAAGGGTAGTTTTGAATGAGTCTTTAACCCCTAAACCCTAAACCCTAAACCCTAAACCCTAAACCCTAAACCCTAAACCCCTAAACCCTAAACCCTAAACCCTAAACCCTAAACCCTAAACCCTAAACCCTAAACCCTAAACCCTAAACCCTAAACCCCTAAACCCCTAAACCCCTAAACCAGGGATTGTAAAGGGGGGGATGGTTCTGCTTGCTGCCTTGAGCAACATGACTACTGGAGCCTATGGAGAGAATGGCCGCATCCTGGAGAAGTGATGTGAATTCACCTGGAACCTGCACTTGCAAGGGCTTTAGGGTTTAGGGTTTAGGGTTTAGGGTTTAGGGTTTAGGGGTTTATGGTTTAGGGCTTAGGGTAAATGACTTTCCAGGACTCAAGACGATGAAATGTCAAATTGACACAGACCCTTTTGCTTGCCAGTATATCGCGTCTCTGCATCATTCTCCGCCAGCACAACTGGCAAAAGCTCCACATGCCGCAGAATAACTAAACCCTAAATCCCTCTGCGCCGAAAGCCGGGAAGCCCCAAAAGGCAGGTGCAGTATGCAAGAATCCAAACAAGCCACAGGGGAAGTGCAAGAAACTAAGGAGACCCCCCGAACTAAACACTAGTAAATGAACCCGCCAACAGCAGCCCAATTCCAAAACAGAAGCCCACCAAATTGAGGGTCCCAGCGGGTCCCAGGAGGCTTGGTAAGACACCAACAACCCTGTTCCGGGCCCCAGCCAACCTGGAATGAGTTTTGGGGGCGCTGTAACCACCTCCGTTTCTATGGGTTAGTGGTATTTAGGGTTTAGGGTTTAGGGTTTTGAGGGTTCAGAGGGATATGGGGTTAGGAGGGATACAAAGGACTCGGGAACTCGGGCGGCCACGCACAAACCCCAAAGTTAAAACCCAAACCCTAAACTCCAAACCCCAAACCCAAACCCCAAACCCTAAACCCAAAAACCCAAAACCCCAAACCCTAAACCCCAAAACCTAAACCCTAAACCCCAAACCCGAAACCCCAAACCCTAAACCCTAAACCCGAACCCCCTCCTACCCTCCCCCTGACCAAGGCAAGGTCGCCGATGCCAGCCGGGGGTGGGCAGTAGAGAAACCTGCCGCCCCCCATTTACTACAGTGGCCTTAAGGGTTAGGGTTTAGGATTTAGGGTTTAGGGTTTAGGGCTACAAGTTTAGGTGCCTCAATAATTAGAACAGGGTTTGGGGGGGGGGGGGGGTACTATAGTATATTTATACAGGGGCAGTAATTATTCGACCTCTATATTAATGCGGTTTGGTAGGGTCGCAGGGTTTTGGGTTCAGGGCCGGTTGAGGGTTTAGGGTTTGGGGTTTGCGTTTTAGAGGGTCGGAGGGTCTTCGGATCTGAGGTCTTCGGACTTTTGATTTAGGGCTCAGAATATACTGTTAACCTCTGAAAGCCCCAAGACCCCCTCCCTAAACCCTAAACCCTAAACCTTGAACGCCAAAACCATCAACAGCACCTGCAGTCTCAAAGTGTGATCTCATGCCCTAGATCTTTGGTCTACTTGGGATTAGGGCTTCGGGTCTGGAGAATTCCCTGTCTGGGTTTTAGGGCTGGGGCCTCGGAGAACCCTAAACCCTTCAAGCCCTAAACCGCCCTCAACCGGAATCAAAAACCCTAAGCCCTAAACCTCAAACCCTTAACCTGCACCTTAAGCCCTAAGCCTCAAGCCCTCGATCGTAACGCTAAATCCTAAATCCTCAATCAAATCTTCTTGGCTGACTTCAGATTGGTTTTGAACAAACCCCCTTATGAGTGCTCAAGGGTTGGGGGGTTTGAGGTCAGGGTCGGGGCTTAGGGATGACAGGGTTTGCAGTTTGGGGTTCAAGGGGTCCCCAGCCAAGGGTTTAGGGTTTAGGGTTTATGGTTTAGGGCCCAGTCTTATCATCCGTTCCTCGACTCTATACCCCCTCTTCTGGGTTCAAGGTTCAAGGAATCTCAAGCAAGGCGCCCCACAACAAACCTTGAAGATCCACTTTTTCAGCAGAGGTTCAGGGTTTAGGTTTAGTGTTCAAGCGAATCAGAAAACTTGTATGCTGAGGCGCATTGCTGAATTGAGAGAAAGCTCTGTGGTGCTGTGTTCCCTTGCCCTGGGCACCCTTGTGCGAAACCACCTTAGGTGGCCGAGGGGGGATGTGAGAAGCACGGTCTCCGCAGCAAAGGTGGACAGGCTGCCACCACAGTCGAACCCTAAACCCTAAACCCCAAACCCCTAGACCCTGGAGTAACCGAGGAATAAGACAGGGTGCCCTTTTTGGTTTTGAGGGGCTGATAAGGGAACCTAAATCCCAAAAAGTTCCAAGGGCCTACTTTGGGTCTTAGCCCTGAATCCAACACCCCATGCAACCTTGACGCCTACTTGGAGGTTCAGGGCACTTTATAACCCCAACTACGACAGTACTTAAAAGCCCCCTAAGTCCCCTAAGTCCTCTAAGTAGGTTATAAGTAGACTTATAACCCTAAACCCTAAACCCTAAACCCTAAACCCTAGACCCTAGACCCTAAACCCTAAACCCTAAACCCTAAACCGTTTATAATTGGGGTTATATACGCACCCATGAACCTCCAAGTAGCAGTGGACGGCCGAAGGTCGGGGATTTTGAATCGCCTGGACCCACAGGAGCAGCCTAGAAATACAAGGGGGGAACCCAACCCCCAAACCCTAAACCCTAAACCCTAAACCCTAAACCCTAAACCCTAAACCCTAACCCCTCAACCCTAAACCCTAAGGGAACTAAGGCAGTCACCTCGCTCCTCCGGCCGCCAGGCGCTGCGTTGAGAAGTGTTGGAGGCTCGACTCCGGAAATGGAAACTGTTCCAGATGTGAAACTCATAAACCCTAAACCCTAAACCCTAAACCCTAAACCCTAAACCCTAAACCCTAAACCCTAAACCCTAAACCCTAAACCCTAAACCCTAACTCATTTTGTGCTTAACCCCCCCCCCCCCCCCCCCATTCTGGCCTGTGGGCTTAGAGGCTTGGGGTCGGATTAATTGCGAATAGTATTCCCTTATGACCCCTGTATCATTAGCCTATAATGACCCAAAACCCTGTTCTAATTATTGCGGCCCCCTATATAGTATAAGGGTTTAGGGTTTAGGGTTCTGTTTATGCTATCATAACCCCAAAGCCTGTTCTAATTATTAAGGCCCATATGTTAAACTTTGAAGTCTTCGAAATGTGGCCAATCAACAATTGCCGCCCTTCGGGGGTAGCCATTGCAGTGGATTTCTTGAGGCTTTGTTTTAGAGCAACCCCCCAACAAAGAGTCAAGAGAAGACCGTGCTTGTAGCGACGGCAGCCACCTGCGAGCGGTGGTTTCAGGCCTAAAGCTTTGGGTCTAGGGTTTAGGGTGTAGGGTTCAGGGTTTAGGGTTATATAAAAGAGTGGTTTCAGGCCTAAAGCTTTGGGTTAGGGCTTATATAAGAGAGTGGAAAGCTGTGGGGGCCCGTGTTTTAAAACCATGTTTGTGCTGTGTGTGGGTTTCCCTCTCCATTTGCATCCTTTCACATTGCCGAGCGTTTGCTGGACAAAGGTCTTGACAATCAATGCTGAAAAGTACGCTCCTGCTGTATGCTTTGTAAGAGCCATTCACGTCCTTCCAATGACAGACAGCACAACAACAGGCTCCAAACACATGTGTGATGGGCGAACGCATGAACCAGTTAAGAAGCAAAAGCGAGTGATTGTATGATTCTCACCTAGCGTGTGTCAAAATACACTTCCAGCGGTTATTGCACAAAAACACAAGGTTGAACATAACAAAAGAATTGCTACACTATGGTGTTCGTATGGCAAGGGGCACTCTCCGAGCAAGATCATGTTTGAAGCGTGCGAAATGGAAGCACCCACGGCTATTACAGTTGATTCCGTTCTTGTGGTTGCTCACTTCACCAAATATAACCCATCGACGCACGTACTTCAGCCGTTGTTGCTTCATCCAGAAGGAATGCACATATAGAAGTGGTGTGAAAGTTATTGAGCAAGTTCCAATGATTGTAGAAGCTGCGATTCTAGACATACGCCGTAGACCACAAGGCGTCCCGACCTCCTACCACACACTCCAAGACCCTGTACTTGCAGGGACCTAACAGTTTTAACAGCTAGGATACAGAGCCCTAAAGGACACACACTCCTTGCAAAGACAGGGAGTACCGGGCTGGCTTTGGGGGCCCGATAAAATCTCAATGTCTGTGGGTTGGCAGGGCTATATCAGGTTCAGGGTTCAATCCAAAACCCTAAACCCTAAACAATAAACCTTAAACCCCAAAAACCCTAAACCCTCTAAACCCTCTAAACCCTCTAAACCCTCTAAACTCTCTAAACCCTCTAAACCCTCTAAACCCTCTAAACCCTCTAAACCCTCTAAACTCTCTAAATCCTCTAAACCCTCTAAACCCTCTGAACCCTCGAAACCCTCCAAACCCTCCAAACCCTCTAAACCCTCTAAACCCTCTAAACCCCCTGAACCCTAAACCCTAAACCCTAAACCCTAAACCCTAAACCCTAAACCCTGACATCATTGCTTACAAGCCAACGCCAGAATCAGTCAAGTGGCCAGGCACCCGACCGCTACTGGGCCCATCATCCCACGGCTGGAGCTGATAGCTCCTCGGTCGCGTGGCTTCGGGTTTAGGGTTTAGGGTTCAGGGTTCAGGGTTTAGGGTTTCGGGTTTAGGGTTTATGGTCCAGAGTTCAGAGTTCAGCATCTCAAGTCCGGGCATTCACTAGTCAAGCCCGTGACTCTGGTCTCGAAAATCTGCCCACCCACCCTTTGCATCCCACAACAGGGGGGGGGGGGGGGGGGGGGGGGGGGGGGGGGGGGGGGGGGGGGGGGGGGGAGAAGCAAGAGGCGCCCCACGAGTGTGGCAAAAGTGTCCGCCCACGAATGAGGCAACAACGGCAGTGGCCGCCCAAGAAGGCAAAGAAGGCAAATTTTGCCGACGAAGCAGGCAAAATCAACGAACTAGGCAAATGCCCACAAATTTTGTTAAACCAGGCAAATGCCCACGAATTAGGCACATTTGCCTCGAACATTTGCCGGGCACTGTGGCCATTAAGGTTTATGCACATTAAGAAAGAAAGGTTCAGGGTTTAGGGTTTGGGGTTTGGGGTTTAGGGTTTAGGGGGAAAAGGCGTCACACCGAACCCCCTAAGCCCAAAGCCCTAAATCCAGGGTTCTGGGTTCCCTAAAACCCCAAAACCCCAAAACCCTAAAACCCTAAAACCCTTAGGTTCCCTAAATAAACCCTTTCCCTACAGCCAAACACTGCTGAGAATGCCTATCGAGCCATCTCTGCTTGGATAAAGGTTTAGGGTTTAGGATTTAGGGATTTTAAGGTTTACTTACCAGCTCGCAATTGGGGGTTCGGGAATCAGGTACCTTATATCCCAATGTACCAAGAACCGCTAGCTTTCGGGCATAAGGGGGGGGGGGGGATTAGCATCAAGGACTTGAGTGTGGTAGCCAGGTTCACCTCTGGAATTGCTTATGAAGGGTTCAGGGCTTAAGGTTTAGGGTCCCTAAACAAAACCCTAAACCCTAAACCCTAAACAGCGATCCTGGATCCCCTAGGCTGGCTTCACAGCCAAATTTCAGCCGGGCAAGGAATGGTTCAGGTTTAGGGTTTAGGGTTTAGGTTTTAGGTTTTAGGGTTTAGGGTGGTTTTAGGGTTTAGGGTTTAGGGGTTAGGGTTTAGGGTTTAGGCTTTAGGGTTTAGAGTTCAGGGCTCAACGTAAGCCGTAAAACCTCGAAATAAACATCTCTCAGCCGTAAAGCCCGAAGTAGGGTCCCTCCAGGGACTGACAAAAGGGGTTTTAACGTACCAGATCCCTAATTCCCGAATTCCCTCCTACGAACCCGGTTTAGGGTTTAGGGTTTGGGGTCAACCTAAGCCCATGAAATCCGTTTTAAGCCCTAAGCCATTGACCCTCAACCCTGGCCCCTGACACCCGAAACCAAAAACAGCATCCCTCAGCCCAAACACAAAGCAGCCCCACAACTTGAACCCTCAGCAATTTCAACGGCCCTGAACTCGAAACCCTCTGGGCCCTACGGTTTAGAGTTTTAGGGTTTAGGGTTTAGGGTTTAGGGTTCAGGGTTCCCGGTTCCCCCCTCATGTAGCCATTGCATACTCCAAAAGCCCGAAGCTCACCACATCAAATCCCTCTTGGTACCCCATAACCTCATTATAATAAGCGCACCCCACGTTACAGGGGAACCTTGAACCAAAAGATGGGAACAGAACACCTCCCATGTCCATAAATCCTGAAATCTCAAGTCTCAGTCCATAAGAACCCCAAACCCAAACCGCCCTAAGAGCCCGCCCCCTCACCCCCCCCCCCCTCACTCCCCCCTAACCTGCGTTCACCCCCTCACCACTCCCCTCACCCCCCCCTCAACACCCAAACCCTTAAACCCTAAACCCTGAGCCCTAAACCCTCAACCCCAAACCCTAAACCCTAAACCCTTACACCAAAAACAGCTCTCAGCCGGATGGCCTCCGGTGCCCAGGCCGATGGCAAACGCGTTGGCACCTTGCGCCAGCACGTGGTGGAGAACCTTGGGATGCTAAGGAAGCCGGTGTTTCTTCTTAGGGTTTAGGGTTTAGGGTTTAGGGTTTAGGGTTTCGGGTTTAGGGTTTAGGGTTTAGGGTTCAGGGTGTTTGTTGCTCCTTTGCTGGGTTGGAATATTAAGCTTCGGCCAGAGGTGTGTGGCCCTTGTCAGGCCAGGCTTGTGGCTTGATCAATCGTCCACTCTGCACTTCCCATTCCCGACTCAGCTCTAAACCCTCCTTCCTACACCCCCTAGTTAAACCCAAAACCCAAAACCCAAAACCCCTAGACCCCTAGACCCCTAGACCCCTAAACCCCTAAACCCCTAAACCCCTACACCCCTAAACCCCTAAACCCCTAAACCCCTAAACCCCTAAACCCCTAAACCCTAAACCCCTAAACCCAAAACCCTAAGCCACTTCTCTCCCAAACCCTCCTTCCTGGAGCCATCGGAAGTGTAAACCCTCATTCCTTAGGGTTTAGGGGTCTAGGGGTCTAGGGGTTTTGGGTTTTGGGTTTTGGGTTGAATTAGGGTGTTTAGGAAGGAGGGTTTAGAGCTGAGTCGGGAATGGGAAGTGCAGAGTGGACGGTTGATCAAGCCACAAGCCTGGCCTAACAAGGGCCACACACCTCTGGCCGAAGCTTAAGATGCCAACCCAGCAAAGGAGCAACAAACACCCTAAACCCTAAGCCCTCAACCCCAAACCCTAAACCCTAAAGCCTAAATCCTAAACCCTAAGCCCTAAGCCCTAAGCCCTAAGCCCTAAACCCTAACCCTAAACCCTAAACCCTAAACCCTAAACCCCAAACCCCAAACCCTAAACCCTAAACGCTAATCATGACGCAACGAGGCAGGTGCAAAAGCCCAGGAAGCCCACAGGTCGGCGGGAGATGCTGCTCTCAAGCGCGAAAGCAACCCACGGTGGCTCCGCCAGCCACACTTCAAACATACATACTTAGGGTTTAGGGTTTAGGGTTTAGGGTTTAGGGTTTAGGGTTTAGGGTTTAGGGTTTAGGGTTTAGGGTTTAGGGTTTAGGGTTTAGGGTTTAGGGTTTTAGGGTTTAGGGTTTAGGGTTTAGGGTTTAGGGTTTAGGGTTTAGGGTTTAGGTGGGTTTAGGGTTTCGGTGGGTTTAGGGTTTAGGTGGGTTTAGGGTTTAGGTGGGTTTAGGGTTTAGGTGGGTTTAGGGTTTAGGGTTTAGGGTTTAGGGTTTAGGGTTTAGGGTTTAGGGTTTAGCGGTAGAAACCGGGATGCTCAAGGCATCTATTTGATCTGTCTGAAAAAAAAACGAACTTGATGGATCGAGATGACTGACATCACAAGCATTCTGGCAAAAGCGATTTGCCACGCAGGCAGACAGAGAAGAGAGAGTGAGAGACAGTGAGAAGAAGCCAAGAGAGTGATGTTGGGGCTACGTAGGTCTTGTAGCAGCGTGTAGAATGCTCGGAGGGTTGAGACTTTAGGGCTTATAGGGCTTCGAGCTGAGATTCTGATTTAGGGTTTCGCGTGGCGTTGGGAATGGGCGTTAGCCAAGTGAGTCTTGTTGGGTCCGAGGCCCTACGTGTGAACTTAAACTGCAAACTTAAGACCGTGCAAATCTACAACCCGAAGACCTAAGCAACTTACAAACCCAAACCCTAAACCCTAACCACCCTCAACCTAAACCCAACACCCACACCTTGAACCGAATCGCAAGCGAAACATGCCACGATGGATCCACAGCTTTCTCCTTGTGGTGCAAAGGCTTCGTACTCAGCTGGGACTGACTGGCAGAAATCCAAACATTCCCCGCAGAATTCTCATGGAACTTCTTCATCTTCGGGTTGTTCTGGCAGGAAGCGCTGGCCTCCGCATCATGCTTCCCCTTGGCAATCTTCTCACCTCAAAAGACGAACAAGTCAGTGTCGGATCCTTCCCCCATGCCAGAGCCGCTTTGGCGCACGAGCCTGCGTCCGCACTACCCTAAACCCTAAACCCTAAACCCTAAACCCTAAACCCTATACCCTAAACCCTCCGATGCATCTGAACCGGTGCGGCGGCCTCGAAGCTGACCAGACTCAGAGCGCTTGCATTACGGTTTAGGGTTTAGGGTTTAGGGTTTAGGGCTTAGGGTTTAGGGTTTAGGGTTTAGGGTTTAGGGTTTAGGGTTTAGGGTTTAGGGTTTAGGGTTTAGGGTTTAGGGTTTAGGACAAATAATGCTGGGATTCCCAAAACTTTACTCTTATAGGGATTGAGGCTATTGAGTTTCCAACTTCTTGGCTTGTACTGAAAACGTGAAAGCGTCGGCCATTCGCAAGCCGTGCTGAAGGCGTTGAGTGCTAGCGAAGTTGTCTTGTTCACCTGCAAAACTTGAACTAGCACCTAAACTCAAAACCATGAAACCTGAATGCGGTTGAGGGTTGAGCTGGGTTGAGGGTTCCGTGTTTGGTTAACCCTAAACCCTAAACCCTAAACCCTAAGCCCTAAGCCCTAAGCCCTAAGCCCTAAGCCCTAAGCCCTAAGCCCTAAACCCTAAACCGTTGGGGGTGTAGGCGCTCCGCCAAGTGACCCTTTCGAAGTCCTCGTCATACAAGTTCATGCTGAACTTGCAGTAGGACCTTCAGAGGGATATGCCCTACCACCGGTTTAGGGTTTAGGGTTTAGGGTTTAGGGTTTAGGGTTTAGGGTTTAGTGTTTAGGGATTAGGGTTTAGGGTTTGGGGCCCGAAAACCCCCCACCCTTCCCCAGACCCTGCAAAGTTCTCGAGGCACAGAGGTAGGAAGATGAACCCAAAAACCCTGTGCCCGAAAAGAACCACAAGCTGGCGTTTACGGTTTGAAGGGTTTGGGTTTCCCGGCCCCCTGGCATCACCAAAACACATCTCAAAACCCTGTTCTCTACAAGCTCTTCGGCCTCCACGTCTCGGAATCCGTCCGAACCAAGATAACCATATCCTCAGTTGCACAAGAGGGCCCTTGTATAAGATGCATATGGGGGGGGTACCCTTTTGGGGGGGGGGGGGGGGCCCCTTAAGGGGATTCTATTCTATTTGGGGTATAAAAGGGGTACCACCCATTTTAATGGGAAATAACCATACTGCCTGCAGTAAGATGGAATGCTGGACCCCTACGCCTGGAAAGCCCGCAAAGAGGTAGTGGGGGGGGCCTTAATCATGAGCATAGGGTTTTGAGGGTCCTTACAGTATAATTACAAAGGGGTCATAAGGGAACACTATTGGCAATCATTCCGACCCCTATATTAGCCGACTCTGGGTTCTCTGTGTGTGTGGTCAAAAGAGGGTACACGTGCCTGGGATGGCATCGAATAGGTCGCGTGGTTAGGTTTTTAGAGGGCCTCTTGCTACAGTTGCTTCTTAGTTGCTGAGTTCATAAGCCCCCCAAAAGTTTACACTTTTCGTTTTGTAGAGATTATAGTATCCCAAAAAGTGTAAAGTGTACTCACTCAGCTACTAAGGTTAAGTTTTTAAGAGGGTTTCTTGCCACAATTGCTGAAGGACGCCCCCCTAAAAGTACGGCCAGTACCCTTCCTTTGCCCGCACTTCCTGGCGCGAAAGACGGTCAGGTATGCAAATCTTAGGGTCTAGGGTTTAGGGTTTAGGGTTTCCCTGCGCCCTGCCAGTGTCTTCTACCTTGCAAGCATTGGACCATCCCCAAACCCAACAGCGAAAGAAGAAGTTCGTGTCGGAAAAAACCCTACGAGACTCACGCGCCGGGAGGTCCCTAAACGCGAATTAACCCTAAGCCCTAAACCCTAAACCGACAGCCCCCTAAAAAACTAAACCCTGAACCTTAAACCCTTAACCCTGACACCCTAAACCCTCACACCCCTAAAAAACCCTAAGCCCTCAACCCCAACCCCCCTAAAAAACCTTAAACCCAAATGCCCTAAAGAACCCAAAACCTCCTAAAAACCCTAAACCCTAAACCCTAAACCCGAACCCCCCTAAAAAAACCCTCAGCCCTAACCCTAAACCCTAAACCCCCTAAAACACCCTAAACCCTAAACCCTAAACCCTAAACCCTAAACCCTAAACCCTAAACCCTAAACCCTAAACCCTAAACCCTAAACCCTAAACCCTAAACAGCAGCAAAGCGTCTCTTTGCTGGATTCCCCAAGCTGACCAGAGTGCATCCGCTTCAGCCGAGGAGAGCGTCCCCTTGCAAAACCTGGGCTGTTTGGGGTTTAGGGTTTCGGGTTTGGGGTTCAGGGTTTAGGGTTTAGGGCTATGCGGTTTAGGTGTCAGGGATTCGGGTGCCAGATCCCCTTAAACACCGTGAACCCTGAACCTATAATGTTGCACCCGCAATATTCTAGGGGGCCGCTATTATGAAAAGTTTTTCGGCTATTCAGGATCTGGACCCTTTGTTTTGGAGGTCCGCTATAATGAAAAGTTTTCGGGCCGTGACTGTTTTTTTGAGGGTGTCAGGAAGGCATAAGCTTCTCGAGAAGGAGAGATACTTGAAGCCTGAAGCCTCGACCTGTCCAGAATCTCCGACAATCTTCTTTTTCAGGGCGCCTTTTCTTTATAAATTCCTTACTTAAAACTAGATGATTCCATAGGCGAATCATATCCGGAAAGGGGGTACCTTGCGGAGGCCTCCGGACACACTTTAATACCTTTGTTTGGGGGCCCGCTATAATGCAAGTCTCCCGGGGCCCGGGGCTCAGTCCTTCGGTTTTCAGGAAGGCATAAGCTTTCTCGAGAAGAAGGGATACTTGAAGCCTGAAGCCTCGACCTTTCCAGGGTCGGGGGGTAGCTTAGGGAGGCCTCCGGGCTCCGGACCCCTCCCCTGCCTGACTGTTTGGGGTTTTTTTATTCAGGGTCGCGACTGTTTGGGGGGGGGGGGGGGTTACATTATTAAAGCAGGTCCAACATTACACCTTAAACCCTAAACTCTACACCCCAAACCCTAAACCCCAAACCCCAAACCCTAAACCCTAAACCCCAAACCCTAAACCTTAGCTTGCAGCTTGACAAAGGCCCAGGGGCAGCGGATTGTGCGCTGAGTACTCTTGCTTCCCGAAGCCGGCGACAAGGGTGCGCGCCTGTGGGGTTTGGGGTTTGGGGGTTTGGGGTTTGGGGTTTAGGGTTTTGGGTTGGGTTTCATCCCCACCAAGAGGCAGCCGGACTTTCGGGGTCTAAGGGGTCTAGGAGTCTCCAGAACCCCATACTTGGAGGTTCGTGGCACTGCTTAACCAATTGTAACTGTACTTATAACCCACTTATAAGCCCCGTAAGTGCCCTGATATGGTTGTCAGTACAGTTATAAGTACAGGTATAATTGGTTAATAACCCTAAATCCTAAACCCTAAACCCCAAACCCTAGATCCTAAACCCTAAACCCTCAATTATAAGTACAGTTATACTTGGTTTATGAGTACCATGAACCTCCAAGTATGGTCAGTTCTTTAAAGTCTGGTTCCCTTTTTGGGTACCCTACATAAGAGGGGCCGCCTTATAATGTGGACCCCAAAAAGTGGTTGGGGTTTAGGGTTCAGGGTTTAGGGTTTAGGGTCATAATTTAGAGAATCACCATATCGTAAACCAAATATATAAGCCAAGGAGCCTTCGACTCCGCGGGCAAGCGCTCCCAGGCGTCGTACCTGGGCTTTAGGCACTTAAACCCTAAACCCTAAACCCTAAACCCTAGATTTACGTTTTAGGACTGGAAAGCAGAGTGGTCCCTTACCTTCTTTACAGGGTTCCTCGGGTTGTTTTAATGAGGGGAAACAAGGGAGAAAGCAGGGCTCCCCTTCCTGCGGGCCCCATATGGGTATGTATGTATATATACATATATAGGGCTCATTAGACCTAAACAATATGGGGGTTTCCGAAATTAGGGTTTCATACTATTTGCGGGTGTGTGTGAGGGGTCCCCTATTTTCGTAAACCTTTGGGGTCTGTAGGATCTGTAGGGATGCTGAGGGAGGGATTAGGCTCAGGCTCCAGGGTTTAGGGTTTAGTGTTTAGGGTAACCTCGTGACCTCATCCTGAACCTCCAAGACTTCCAGCTTAAGTCCCCTACACCCTGAACTCCAGAAGCATCCTCTCAGAGACCTGGGCAGTTTCCATGCTCCTCTGTTTGCGAATTGGGCCCGTAAGACCCTAAACATCCTCTGTTTGCACAGTGGGCAAGACCCTAGACACTAGGACCCAAAACCCTAACCGTAAGCCGTAAAACCTAAAAACCCCAAAGCTCTGAACCCTAAACCCCAAACCCTAGGGCCCATACTTCAGAACCCTTTTAAGGAGGTAAGGGACCATATTTAGGGACCATGTAACTTAAACTCAATGGGCTGGCAGGTGGCATCATGGCCAACTTCTGCTTGCAGATGCCGCAGTACTGGGCCCCGAAGTAGAAGGCAGCCACATCGTAGCTGGAGCTCGAAAGCATGCCTTTCAGGGGGGGGAACCCTAAACCCTAAATCCTAAATCCCTCATAAGGAACTCAGGGTCCTTATGTAGTCCCTGAACGGGGAATTTTTCCTCAGGGGAGATGTAGGGTGCCTACTTAATTCCCTAACTCCAGACCAAGAACCTGGCAAAGCAGCCCTAAACCCTGAAGCCTCTAGGGCAACCCTGAACCCTAACCCTCAACCCCACACCCTAGAAACCCTAAACCCTAAACCCTATAAACCCTGTAAACCCTATAAACCCTATAAACTCTATAAACCCTAAACCCTAACCCTAAACCCCACTTTGGAAGAGCATAACAAGGATGCAATCGAGGCCTGGGCCGACGGCCGCCGGCGCACCGTCAGCGCAGAAGTTTGTTCCCACAAACCTCAGGCAGCGGCCGGCTTCGGGTTTCGGGTTTCGGGTTTAGGGTTTAGGGCTTAGGGTTTAGGGTTCAGGGTTTGGGGTTTCGGGTTTAGGGAATACAGGCTAACCCCTCAATCCTAAACCCTAAATCTTAAACCCTCAACCCTCAGCCCGAACTCCAAAACCCTGTGAACCCTGTGAACCCTCTAAACCCTCATCGCCACACGACCCTGGGATTTTGGGTTTATGGTTTATGGTTTAGGGTATCACGGGATTCTAACTTGGACCCCTCAGGATGTGCCCCAAAAGATTCCCTGACGACACTCCTAGTAGGGCCCTGATATACCCTGACAGGATCTCAAACCAAAAGGGCCCCCATACCCAAGGGGTACAATCTGAGGGTTCCAGGGTAGAATCCCACGATGCCCGAAACCCTGAACCCTGAACCCTAAACCCTAAACCCTAAACCCCTAAACCCTAAACATCCCAGGGCCGCGGGGCGAGGACTCGGCCAATGCGTCGCTGGGGCAGGTGACCCCGAGAGCTGCATGAGCCTCGATGATAGGGTTCTTGAGGGAGTCAAGGGGTTTAGGGTTTAGGGTTTAGGGTTTGGGGTTTAGGGTTTAGGGTTTGGGGTTTAGGGTTTAGGGTTTAGGGTTTAGGGTTTAGGGTTTGGGGCGATGTAACCCAAGGTTCCCACATGCTCCCCCACTGCTCCCTAAACTTCCCTAAGTACCTACCCACCATGAACCCCCTTCCCTAAAGTACCCTATATCTCGAATGTTTGTCTAAGTTGTCCCAAAAAAACAAAATGTGAACGGGGTTTAGGGTTTATATAGGGTGTAGTGTTTAGGGTTTGGGGGGGGGGGGGGGGGGGCGGGGTGGTTGGGGTTGGGGTTTGGGGTTTGGGGTTTGGCCTTGCAGCCTGTGAAAAAGGGATGGCGGCTTGTGCCTAACGGGGCGGCTTGTGCCTAACGGGGGTTGCAAAGGAGCCGAGCCCGGTTAGGCTTCCTTGTAACCCCCATTAGCTTTCTCACAGGCTACTGCATGAGTTGATTTTAGGGCCCGCACCCTAAACCCCAACAAAAGCTCTAAACCCTGCAAATCCAAACCCCTAGAATCGGAAACCCTAAACCCTAAAACCCAGAAACCCTAAACCCTAACCCTAAACCCTAAACCCTAAACCCTAAACCCTAAACCCTAAACCCTAAACCCTAAACCCTAAACCCTAAACCCTGACAAGGAGCCAGAAAGCTGAAGAGGCTGGCCGCGACCACCAGGCGCATGGCGGCCGTTGGGTTCCGATGGAGGGGTTTAGGGTTTAGGGTTTAGGGTTAGGGTTTAGGGTTTGGGGTTTAGGGTTTAGGGTTTTTAGGGTTTAGGGTTTAGGGTTTAGGGTCTAGGGTCTAGGGTCTAGGGTCTAGGGTTTAGGGTTGAGGGTCTGCTTCGTGATCCTTGGGCTTATGGTTCAGGGCTTAGCATGAAGGGATCTAGGGTCTAGCAGTTTCATAAGGATACGATTTAAAAGGCTGCAAGATCTCTGGGCTTTTGGCCTAGACCCAGGGGTAACCTAGGAATACAAAGGGTACCCTTTTTGGGGATTGCAAGGGAACCCCCAACTCGAAAAACGGAAATAAGGGCCTACTCCGGGTCCTAGTAGCCCAAAACCCTAAACCCTAAACCCTAAACCCTAAACCCTAAACCCTAAACCCTGACCAGAACAAAGCTGGGGAGCCCTGCTGGGTGAGCTTTCGAAGAAACGGCTTCGAGTTGATGGCGTTGAGTGCGTGACCCTCAACCCTCAACCCTCAACCCTCAACCCTCAACCCTCAACCCTCAACCCTCAACCCTCAACCCTCAACCCTCAACCCTCAACCCTCAACCCTAAACCCTACACTCTACACCCTACACCCTACACCCTACACCCTAAACCCTAAACCCTAAACCCTAAACCCTAAACCCTAAACCCTAAACCCCAAGTCCGGGATGCACAGGGTTGGCGGGGGGGCTCAGGAAATGGGGTTTGGACACTGTGTTCGGCTGCTAGACGCCCCTAAAGCCCCAGAAAACTGAAAACTGAAACAAAAAAGCAATTACCACATCCAAACGGTTTAGGGTTTAGGGTTGAGGGTTTAAGGAGCTAAGGGGGTGGAAGGCACAGGGGTGGTAATGGCCCCATGTTTCCTGAAAAAAGGGCTTAAGAATCCCAAACAAGCCTGAGTAAGCCCTAATAAGGTTCCGTACGAACACAGCTCTAAAACCCAAAGGCTCAGAATCCGAGGTCCAAGACTTTGAATGGGGCTTAGGGTTTAGGAGGGTTTAGGGTTTAGGGTTCAGGGTTTAGGGTCTAGGGATTCGGGTTTCGAAGAACCTGGGAGATCCAGGGTGTAGTGTTGCGGGTCTAGGGTTCGGGTCTTACGGTTCTTTTGGCTGAAGGTTGGAGGTGTTAGGGTTTATACGAAGTAGGGTATATATTTCTTGTACCCCCAAGAGGACACCCAATATATGCACTCACCAATATTAAAAAGGAACCTTATATACACTCACCCAAAACAGAAATATAAACCCTGCTTCAATATAGGGTTGAAGGTTTGGGGTTTGAGAAGATTTTAGGGACGACGCCCACCCGGATCCTGTACACGAATCTCTAAAACTCCAAGGGTTTGGGGTTTAGGGTTTAGGGTTTAGGGTGGGGGTAGATCCCAGCCTCAGTATTGAAGCTCTCGCCATTTGCGAACAGCGAACTGGCAGCCTCAGATATGTGTGATTAGATAGTGACTTATCTACATTAGGGGAGCTGTCAGGCTGCTTATCTACATCAAACCCTAAACCCTAAACCCTAAATCCTAAACCCTAAACCCTAAACCCGAAACCCTAAACCCCAAACCCTAAACCCTAAACCCCAAACCATGGCCAGTTCCGTAAGATTCTGGCCCTTCTTCGAGGCAACCTATAAAAGAAGGGGTGGCGACAGGAACACAAGAAGGGTGAATGATGGAGCTGAGCGCGTACCTACGTAAACCCTGAAAGTCATTCAAACTCTGCCTAAACCCTCAAGCCCGCAAAAGTCTAAATGAAAGATGCCAACCCAAACCCTAAACCCTAAACCCTAAACCCTAAACCCAAAACCCGCAAAGTACAGGCCCAGTGCCCTGGCGCCCTGTTGCCAGGCCTCAATGGAAGCCCCAAACCGGCCCCAAACCTCAAATCCCGAAACCCTAACCCCCTGGAGCCCAACGCTGAAACCTGTAAAGCTGGGTTTAGGGTTTAGGGTTTAGGGTTTAGGGTTTAGGGTTTAGGGCCCTTGCAGCCCCCATTCCCCCCTTCTGCTTCCACCCGGGGTTGATGGTTCAACTGATTCAACCCCCTACCTGCCAGAAGAGTAACGCACACATGCGTCGTGGGGTGTACGGTGTCAGGGTTAAGGGCATACGGCTGTAAGGCCGAGGGGTGAAGTGAAGGATGATGTTGGGCGAAGGGCTTCTGTGCAAGGTCTTCGGGTTTACAGCGGTTTACAGGTGACAGTACTCCCCTTCGTTTGAAAAGGGCGAAAGGTTTCTCATAGATAGAGCGTGCGTAATACATAAGCCTATATAGTGCTAATCAGATCGCTTGCTATTCTCTAATAGTTCACTTAACCCGAGAAATACATTCTAGTTAAAGTCCGCCCATGTAGTCGCCTTAACCCCCTCCCTAGCCGGCAGGTAGTTCACTGGTGAACCAGATGTCGGTAAGTACCCCAAACTGGGTTTTTCAGCTCAGAGGGCCCTAAACCCTAAACCCTAAACCCTAAACCCTAAACCCTAAACCCTAAACCCTAAACCCTAAACCCTAAACCCTAAACCCTAAACCCTAAACTCCTAAACCCTACACACTAAACCCGATAAGGTTGAGATGTGGGTGGTCAGGGGTGGGGAGCTCGTTGGACGCAAGGCGCGCTGCCGCGACCTTCACTAGGGAAACCCCTAAACCCAAAACCCCAAACCCCAAACCCTATAACCCTAAACTACCCTAAACCCTAAACCCTAAACCCTAAACCCTAAACCCTAAACCCTAAACCCTAAACCCTAAACCCTAAACCCTAAACCCTGGCATGCCCCCATATGCTACGGCCTTTTCTGGGCCAGTGGCTGAGCCATGGTCTGCTTGAAGGTTCATGGTACTTACTGACCAATTATAACTTGGCTTATAACCCTACTTATAATTGCGATAACCCCTCTAAGGCCCCTTAGGGGTATTATAAGTAGGGTTATAAGTACAGTTAATAATTGGTTAGCAAGTACGATGAACCTTCAAGTGCCGGTGGCCATCATTGGTCCCAGGAACGCCAGAGTGAGCGCCCGTGTGTAGTGGTGGCTTAGGGACTGGGCTTGTACCCTAAACCCTAAACCCCAAACCCTAAACCCTAAATCCTAAACCCTGAACCCTGAACCCTAAACCCTAAACCCGAAACCCTGTGGGGTTGCATAGTTTGAAGGGTTTACAGGGTAGGGCGAATGGGTTTAGGGTGCCTCTTCCTGCTCGTGCTGCACACTTTCCTACAGGGCCGCTATGCAAAAGAAGAGGGATTGATAGCTTCCAGATATTAACCAGGGCACTTGCAAATTAAAATGTTCAAAAGCCTTAGCCATATCTGTTATTGATGCACCTTTTGCTTTAACATCTTCTTCGGTCTTGCCTATTATGTTTACTATGGCCGATTTTGTTAGTTTGTTCTTTTCTCTCTTCTTGTCTCCCATAAGTGTGTCCTTATAATAATCCGTCAAGGTGTTAAACCAACACTCGTTCTTAACATGATGTTCGGAAGCTTTAATGGCTTCCTTAAAGGTTTCATACTGTGGATCTAGGGGTGTCTGGATATAAAGTTCTCCTTCTTCTGGAGATCTGCATTCTCTTCATGCAACTTTTTGTACTCCTGCTCCCTGTTCTTTTGCTCCTGCTCCCTGTTCTTGTACTCCTGCTCCACGGCATCCAGGGTTTTAGGACCTTGCATTTTTGTTCGTCCGGAAAGTCTTCAAGGCACGCCCACAACCGTTTAAACATTGCCAGATGTTAACAGCGCTAGAGCGAAAAGAGCTGCAGCAACACATCAAGACTAGCACCGTTCAAAGCTGAGAGGCAAACAGATCAAGCCAACACAAGCGTGAACCGCTCCTCTGGTCAAGCAGCAATTCCTCAACATGAATAATATACCAAGATTATAATCCCTTCTGGGGTACTAGGGATGCGACTTGTCTACTGTTTCAAGGACTCTTCGGTGAAACGCTGGGCTGAGCAGGGCGCGGACCACCAAGTGATGTGGGAAGCGGGAACAGATGCACGCATGGTGGCAAAGCTGTCCAGATATGTTGATGATTATCACAACTGCCTCGAGGTCGTGTCATCTTATGCCAAAAGCAGTGCCGTGGCAAAGTGGAATTCTCGCCTCTACATGCTGGCGGCAGCAGACAGGCTAGGCTTGAGCGGACGCAGCATGGCCAGACTTATCTTTGTGGCGTGCTACATCTACGAAGCAGAAGAAGGAACCGCAGCGCCTGCCAAGCTCATGGTCGGGGAGCGGTATTTGCCAGGATCCTTTCTCAAGTACAACTCGTGCAATGCAAGTGGTGGTTGTCGCTCACGTCCAGGAGGCGGGGGTGGACACGGCAAGAGCAACCTTATCGGCGTACCTTTGCCCAGCATGTACCAAGTGGTCCGAATTATATTACCGGCTGAATAAGTCTGAACTGTATCTACGAACCAAGTTTTCGTATGGAAGCAGCGATGTTGTACTTGAAGAAGGAAACCTCAATTACGAAGCCCCAATCGTGGATCCGAAATTCTGACCACCTGGCCTTGACAATTTGATTTGCGAGGGGGGGCGGGTAACGGATTATTTGGTAGACCCTAAACCCTAAACCCCAAACCCTAAACCCCAAACCCCAAACCCTAAACCCTAAAACCTAAACCCCTCTACTGGAAATGGCTACAAGATGGTGTTGAGGTTGGATGCGGGGTCGAAGTCTTGGGGTTAAGATCTTGGGTTGGATGCTGAGAGTGAGCTCTGATTTTTTTTCTGGGCTGTGCCGACTCAGGAAGGGTAGATCAGGCTGGTCGTGGGTCTTGCGTCAGCTCGGGTGTGATGTTGGCTCTGAAATATCCTGGGGTTTGAGTACATGACAACTGCGAAACAAATCCCTGTTGAACCAGGCGGCACCCTGCTGAGGGAGGGTCTTACTTGCCGGCTCTTAGGCACGTTATTCCTAAACCCTAAGCCCTTGTTGTGGGTCGTAGGAATCATAGTAGT